TTTATTTATTAAGGCAGATTCGAAGAGGGTTATGTAGAGAGGGGAATGGTCGGAGCTTAGTTCTACTCCATCTGTTATTTTTAAATTGTAGGACGAAATTTGCTTGGTTATAAGTGAGCTATCTATTGCCTAATGAATATTCACTAGATCATATGATTAAAAGTAAATAAATTTGTGCGTTTGTGTTAAAAATCATTAAATAACTAGGTAAATTTGAGGATTTATCAAAGTAAATAAATTTGGATATGGTGAAATTAGTTTCCTGATAAGACCAATATTAATGTATGGGGCAGAGTCCTGGACTATGAAAAATGTTAGACGTCTTTGAGCGCAGAGTCTTACGCCGTATACTTGGTCCAGTAAGTGAAGGTGACTTCTATCGACTGAGATATAACGATGAGTGTCAAAAAGAATTTGGTTAACCAATAATAAGCAAACGAGTCAAATTAAAGCAAATACAATAATCATGTCCAAAGAATAAACATAGATAACCTAACAAATAAAAAAATTTCAATCTGCAACAGGATGAAGAAGAAGAAGTCGAACAAGTTAACGTTAGATGGACAACGTTGAACAATCAGTGGAGTTGCTTGAAAGATGAAACTGAAGAACTGTAGCAAGTGAGAGAGACACAAAGAGGCAATTACAAAGGATGGCCAAGATTCAACTAGGATCGTTGCGCTATTAATTATAAAGGTGATATTAGTTTCCTCATATGTTCATTACGAAAGAGTTGGCGATTTTATATGAGCGTTACAAGTACTAGGCATAGTAAGTAAGATCTTGATAATCTAATCTATAGCTATACATTTACACTGCAAACACACAACCAAAAAAGTATTTTTAAGTGTATCCTACATTATCTTATTGTATATACTTATCTAACATTTGTACTGATTTTAAATTATATATTTTAATGGAGATATGTTAATAATCCAAAAACTTTTTGATATATTAAGATATTACTATTATGATTTGCTAACATTTAATATAATGGATCAAAAACTTAAAGATCCTTATTCGAAAAACCTGGATACAACTTGATAAGTGTAACTTAGAGAGATGTAGTATATATAGGAATATATATAGATTGTGCGTACAAAACTACATAAAAGTAAGAGATAAGATATGGAAGAGATTTATATAATATATCTAAAAACGAAGGAAAATTATATTGAGCGGAATATAGGAGACTATCATATATATAAAGTATATATATGGTGCAAAAACAAATCGCATTATCACCTAAAAAATGGATCATTAACTTATATCATATACTAGTTTGGTATATATATATATTATATATATTTATACTGTTATATAATATAATATAACAGTATAAATAGTATTTAAAAAAATACTATTTATGTCTGCTTAATTGAAAAAAAAAATTTTCATATAAATTTTCATATTTTTGTACCTTTGCTTCTAACTGTTGAACAAGTTGATGGCTACGTTTGATTTCATCTTCTTGTTCCAATACAAGATTTCGCGTTTGGTCTAACATTTTTTTGAAGTTGCCAGCATCAAGGTTAAGTAATAAACGTGTAAGTTCGTCCGACATAGCTGACAACATGCCTTGCCGAAACTCAACAGCTTCACTGCATTCAGTACGTCCAGACGATGAAATTGTATTATCCATAGATTCCAGATCTAATGAAATGTCTGAGTTTAAGCCTATAGGAGAGAGCATATACATTATTTATAGATTATAGATTATTTAATTATAGAAATAAGAAATAGAAATTATTTTAGATAGAAATTAATTTTATATTAAAATTTTTTTACCTGAATCATCATCATGACTTATTTTTAGTGAATCAACTAAAGATTTTAATTGTATATATACTGAACGTGCTTCCACCCACATTTGACTGGGTTTTCCTTCGGAATAACTGGAATCATCTTCATCACATTCCATTTCAAATTGTAATGATTTTTTTCCATGTGCACTAGAGTTCGAATCCTTTAAAAATAATTAAGAAAAATATATATATTTTATAAGATTCAATTTAAATAAATAATCTATTAAGTTACTTACTGATCCAATTCTTTCACTAAGCACATTATTTTCACGCTGTGATCTTTCCAGAGCTTGCAAAGTTGTCTATAAATATTGGAAAATTTGTTAAAGTTAAATATATTTGCGTTTTGCTTATCATTTCAATTTAAATTATATATGCAAAAAATAAACATTAAATTTATATTAATATAAAGTTTTATTATATTAATGCAACATGAAGAGAAATATAATAAATCGGGTTCGGTACAAGACTGCTTTTGCTGTTCGTAGGGTAGGATTATCCATTGTTTTTTATAACTGCTTAGTTAAACAAATAATTGAAATATTATCTAGAGCTCCAAATTGAAAAAATCGGATTCTTGATCCGAATTTGATCATGAGGAAAAATTTTGTGTTTTATCAAGACGACGAAAACATGCACTTTCCGAGACCCGGGAAAAATAAAGAGGCTTAGCTGGAACACTTTGATGTATTCGTTATATAATTCTAATATTCTATCAACAGACAATCAATTATTCTTGTCTTTGTGGCGTTATTTTTGTGTTTAACTAAAAGGATGCGATTATTAAATGGATACTCGATTTAATCGAAAAATGTTAGAAGTAGTAGTTACTCAGGGTTCAAAAAAAAGCACAGTTTATTTAAAAACATGTCTAGACTATTTTTAAACATTCTATAATAAATTACTATATACATTTAATATATATTTAAAATACATGAAAATATGAATTAACTGTAGGGTATACCTCTAATTTTGTTTCTTGCTCACGAGCGTGTCGTTCCAGCATATGTATTCTATCAGAAGCCTCTTCAAGTGCAGATGTTAAGGACTCTTTTTCTTCTTGTGCTAATTGTAGTTGTCTTTCTAAGCCATGCCGTTTTTCTGTTGTGAGGTTTAGTTCGGTTTTTATAGTTTCTAAGCTATTCACATGTTCCTAAGATTAAAAAAAATTATATTAAATGTGCAATGATATAAAGTATTTTATCATTATCTTACTTGTAGACTTGTGTTTCTGTAACTGTACTGATCCTTAAGTTCCTGTATCTGTGACATTAGTTTCATTTCTGTGGCATGAGCTTCTTGAATTTGCTCGGTAAGCCGTGTGTTTTGGTGTGTTAATTCATCGATTAAAACTGTTTTTTCCTTTTCGGCTTGACGTATTGCATTATCCTAAAATAATTGTATGGTTTGATGTTATTTAATAAAAGCTTTATAAAATATTATTCTTAAATTAAACATGTAAAATTAAATTAATATTTAAATTACTTGCGCTTGTAGTTTATCCTTTAGTTCACTGAGATCTGATTGTAATTCCAGGACACGTTGATCACTTTCCTCTTCCGCTATGGCTAGTTTTTGGCGGAGTACATGTTTTTCTTGTTCCAATTTCTGAAAAAAAATTTAAATATTTTTAATTCGAATATTAAATTAAATAAAAATAAACAAATATATAATATTACTTTAATACTCATACGTATATAAGACGCTTACTAGCATAATAGATCATTTATAAGTCATAATAGATCCTTTATAAGAATACCATTTTATTTTTTTCTTAAACATATTTTCTTATATATTTAATAATTAAATTAAAAAAAAATGAATGAAAAGAAGTTGATATCTTAGATTTTTCAGGAAACTGCATTTATGCAGTGTTTTTTCTAGTTAGTAGAGAAGTTTTTTCTAGAATTTCCTCACTTTAACAAATTTTATTCAGAGTAGCTCCATATCAAGAGTCGTTCTTAATCATTTAGTAATATTTACTAATGTGGTCTGGTGGTTTAACCTAAGTTTAATATTACTACTCGTATGTATATTACTGTAATGTTTAGCAATTAGAAAATAATAAGGGGATCAGAAAACAATCTTTTGTGATATTTTGCTTTTGTTTCATGCAGGTAAAATTATTACTTTTTTTAACTTAAGAAATTCATAAAATGTTGAATTCACAAGAAGTGTTTTAAAAAATTTAAGAAAAAAAATTACAAAGTTTGCAGTGAACCATAGAATAGAAAAGGAATTTATGAATTAAATTAGATTCTCAGCCCCACGACCATATCATACTCTTTCTTCTCCAAGTTAACCCAAACAAATAAGTGCAAAAATTCTAAGTATAGCGGTGCCATATACACTAGTAAAGGTGATCATCCTTTATTAGCAATGCATGCTATATAAATCTGAACCTATTTCAGTCCTAGCTTCAAACATGAGACATCAAATTTAAAACATACAAAATATTTGTACCTCCGTTCTTAAGCAATATGGAAATTCAAGTTCACAGACTAAGAGCTTTCTGTATGAAAAGTACTTAGAAAATCTATGGCCCAAAGAATACATCTGTAGAATTCACTACAACCTCAAAGTAACACTGCCATAGACCTAGGAAACTTTCATTAATTTATTAAAAGAAGAACGAATAAGAATTAATCTGGTTTAACTATGTTATTTGAAAGACGGATGGCAGCATACCTAATTAGATTGTACAAGAAAAAGATTCTATGTTTGGACTTTT